ATGTGCCAGCGACAGATTTAGACAATTTATCTGAATAAGATGGTCAATACATTTATTTATCTGTATTTCATTTTTTAATATTTATTGTCTTGATTGTATAGAAATATTTCATTACATTTGACAGGTTTGCTCTTGAAAAGCTCAAAATGGGCATGATCACAGCTGTCAGTCTCGAAGAGGGGGTCTGTTTCGGACCTCTTCCAACGGAACTGATGATCGCAGATCCAGCCTACTTGATCGCGCAGACAACGGCCGATCAGCTGTCCGAGTTACCGACTATTGTAGTAAGTTGAATTTTGTCGTGATCGACAATATTTTCGCATACGTTCACATTCCGATTCTAACTACTATCAAAATAACAGTAGTCAACTCAGTTTAGAGATATTTCAGTTCCCGGATGCCATACGCTAGTTAAGGTGTAATGAAGCATGATCCAAGTTGTGAAGGAAATTTCTCGTTGTCGTGGAAGTGAAACACAACGAAGTGTTCACTACTGTAGAGTATTAGTGTCTTAATAATCAAAACGATTTCTGTGAGCTGTACCCTAATCAAGACCCATCAAGACAAGAATCTCCCGTCGTTCGACGATAGTCACACTAAGTAGCAGTCTCATTCTGTGGAATTCCACCTAAATTTTTATTTTCAAGCACTTAATTTCCCTTGGTCCAGTCCATCCACCCCAACATGCGTGCAACCACTTGAACTTTTGACATTGTGATCAAATTCACAAAAGCACGCATGATTTAAGCCAGAGATGAACCATTAAAACTCGAATCTCTCATTCCCTGTTTGTTTTTGTTGTCGGTCGTATTTAATGTTATGTAATGGCATGATTAAGAATCACCGAAAACGTCACGCTGTTGTTCTAAGTGTGCTCTGTGGAACTAATGAAACGGTTGAAACAATTTGATGGCAATGACTACTTGTAAGTAGTCGCGAAAAGAAGCCACCAAAACATGTATCACTCCCATCTTAGGAAAAAGACCATTGACAAACCTCGATGTTAAATTATTGGTTTACAACATAAAACTCATTGATGCATTGAATGGCATCACTTGATCTTATAATTTCGTATCTCTCTCGCAAAATAATTTTATTTTCAGATAATTTGAATTTCTGCTTCGTTGTCCTTGTAAAAGTCTTACTCTTTGAGAGTTAATATAGTCTCCATCGCAAGCCGTCCTACTGAAGGCGAAACTTGTATAACTGCACTAAGCGTTTGATGGGCCACAACTTAGGCTAGGTGAGACATGATTTCAAATAGAATGCAGAGTGTCGAAAAAGCTCGTTTTCAGCGAGTCATAATCAGGAAAATACTTCACTATATATATATTTCTGAACTCAGTCATAAAAATTATTTTGGGAAAAGGGAAAGTTACCATCATAGATAATTTGGGGCTAAGTTATTCATATTACCGGATGATCAGACAAATCTTTATTGGGTCATCCGAAAGTGTAGACTACTCGGAATGTGGTGTGCGAGGTGATCCATGGGAACTTAAGTGCCTGCACAGATTGTTTTCGGGCACAAGATTTATCGACAAAAGGATGGTGTGGACGTAGAATCGTTGTTTGCTGATCGGTTTATGGTCAAAATCAAAAATAACCAACTCAAATTGTCCATTTAGGATTGTGCGCTTTATTCACGATATGCGGATGAAATCCTTTGCGTGAGCAACACGGAACAAATGAGCTATTGCTCAAGTTCAATGCAGCTCACCAGGTTCACTTTAGAAATGGGAAACAACAACAATAATCTAGCATTCCTAGACGTCTGTCTGTCTGTCTGTCTGTCTGTCTGTCTGTCTGTCTGTCTGTCTGTCTGTCTGTCTGAGTCGTAGACCGGATGGCTCGGTGCTACGATTAGTGTATGGGAAGGAAACTTGAAAAAACTAAAACATGCATTTTCGAATGAAAGGGAATTTGATGCTCTGTCTAGCATTTAGAGCAAAGAAGATTTGTAATGAAGACAGAGGATCTCCGGTTCTTATTTACTACTTCAATATACAATGGCTATCCCGAACGACTGGTCAGTAAGATGATTTAGTGTGGTGGAGATACCGTAATGAACAACGAGATCAGAAGGAAGTCGATATACATCGCCATAAAGTTCACAGGGGACACATCAACAGGGGTAAAAAGACAAAAGAGACTATCTGAT